AGTGGAAGTCGGTCGACTATCGAGACACAGGGGTGTCCGTTAGCATAGTTGGCGAGCCTCGTAGAACGGTAATTTAAGACTTTCGATGAAAATACGAAGACGTCCCCGAAGATGTCCGCGAGGAATATCTGAATGCCGCGCGTGGGCAGCGAAGCGAGTGTACCTTCGGGCATCGTCCCTTTCTCCGCCCTTCTACTACCACTCGTTCCATCGATATCGAAACATGCGTACGAAGCTACACGGAATAAGAATTCGTATTTTCGATCGTCCTTCGCTTTCGAACCTCTTCGATTCGCTTATGCACCTACGTTCACGACGTAAGAAGGTAATAATTTTCATCGAAAAGCCGATCCCCCGTTTGTACGCGCGCCCGATCAACGTTTTACAGAGAATAACTAAAAAAATATCCTATTTGTATAGTCTTTTTTTTTTTTTTTTAATCCATTACATAAATTAATAATAAAATAATATCGATGCAAATATGAGTAGTTAGTTAGATGATATATTGATATTGATTAAAAGAGATAAATAGATGGTAATGATTCCGTCGATAAATATTGAATAATGAATAGATTATAATCATCAAGAAGAATGATCTTCTTATTTGCCAATAATGGTTTGAGTGAAAAAGAATTAAATCAGGCCACCTGCCTGGTCGGTCGATTTCGTTCCCTCTTACTACCTGTTTCTAATTCTATCATACCTTATTGGTTACTCCTTTTAAAGACAGAGTATCCCGCGGCGATATTCGTGGTACGTACCAACTAATAAGTATTAGAAGAGTGTTTATAAAGATTTTTGGGCTTCTGTAAATACGCGTTGTACATGATTAAAATTATATATACCTTATAGATCTATGAAGCTTAATTGTGTTATGTAAATCATATAGTTTAGAATTAACATAATCATTTCAAAACTTGTGGAAAACTTGGCGAGTAGCGAAATTATAATTTATCAGAGAGCGTCGGATTAAGGAAAATGTAACGCTTAAATCGAATCAAAAATTGTTCCGTTTTACGGAATAGAGCGATGAGAATCTTGCGTGTATAAAGAAACTCTTATAATTACAGCCTGCTGTGCGTTATGCAAAATGAGAATCGCGAATTCCCCTCGATACCGCGTTAAAATGCGAATAAACACGACGCCAAGAATTTCTTCTACCTTGAATATACATTTGATTGCAAGCGCGTGTATCGGTATGAAAAGAAACAATTCATTTTTATTTCATACACCTTTACTCTGAAAGATTGCGCTAAGGTTAATTAACATAAAAGAAGATCAAGATATTTTTATAATTAATAAGGAAAGGACTGAGGGATTGCTTCTGCTTATTATTAAATATTATTTCATTTAATTAAGACTTTTTTCTTTAAAATATGAAAAAATTTCATTTTGCCAATAATTACCTCGACATGCCAATTTTAAACGAATCAGTTTCTAATAAAAAAAATACCGATGAAGAATAAATCATCAGGGACACGTCTAAAGCAATTAGGCAATGATCTTCCCAGGGTTCTTCCAGAATGGTCCTTGGAAATACAAAAAGCTCGTGTGACGCGTGAAAGGAATGATTACTCGGATCTGATGGTGCGAAAAGCAAATGGCCGAACTTCTTCTCGGTTCAAAACAAAAATAACTAGGATGGAATAAGAAAATGAAAGGGAAAGAAATAAGTAGAAAGAGAGATAGAGAGAGAGAGAGAGTAAAAGAGAGAAAGAAGGCGAGAAGGGCGCTCCCTTTCATCGAGGCGGGACAAAAAGGGTTCGATCGAAAGTCTCAAAACCCCGGGAGACGGTGGTCATTATTTGTTTTAGATATTAATGCTCTCCACGGACTATCGATAATTCACTCTGAGCGTTCTCGATGTAATCGCACGGTGTGTGTGCTCTCTCTCTCTCTCTCTCTCTCTCTCTCTCTTTCTCTCTCTCCTTTCTCTCTCTATCTTTTTCACTCTTTGTCCGTAATGTACAACGTATATAAAGAGAGATAGAAAAGAATAGGGATACAAGATCTAAGAGAAAGGATAAAGGAGGAAAGAGAGAAAGAGGAGGTCCGTGTAAACGATAAATCACGATAAATACGTTTGCCCAGGCCCATTATAAAAGGAGGAAGAAGGAAGGAGGAAGAAGGAAGGAGGAAGAAAAGAAAAAAAGAGTAAGAAAGAGGGGAAGGGAATCCGCACGATCGGCCAGGCACGGGCGAGTGCTCACGCGCGGGAGGAAGGAAAAAGAAGGTGTACCGATATAAAAGGGAGAAGGGTGAAGGGCGGGCGGTCTTGCCCACCGATATGCGATCCTCTCCCCGGGGCAACTTTCTTTTTATCTTTCTTTATTTCTTTCTTTCTATACCGGTGCATCCTTTTCTCCAAGAGCCGCGCATTACGATCGCTTAAGTCTCGACTCGACTATCGAGTGATCCATCGCCTACGAATTCGACGAAGCCTCCCGCCTACCCTCGGGACATCCTCGACTAATGAGTGTGTCTCGATCGTGAACGACCAGTCTCTCTCTTTCTCTTTCCCTTTCTCTCTTTCATTCCTTTCTTCTCTCCTCTTCCTGATACCGCTTCCAGGTGCGGTCTCTCGGCGTTTCTCCTTAAAAAGGATTCCAATTAAGAGAACCCGGTTCGAGCGACCACTCGCGTCTCCACTCGCCATTCTTTCTCTTTCATGTGAATATCAAAGACGACAGGTGGCCCAGAATAGTTTGCTGAAGCCTACGTGAGACAAGAGGTAAAAAGAGAAAGAGAAAGAGAATGAGAGAAAGAATGAGATGAAGATGTAAGACAAAGCAGAGAATATAAGCAACAGAGATGCTGCTGTCCTTTCGAAAAATTTCTTGTTTATCTAGAAAAATAACATTGATACGTATGAACATATAACGTATACGATTTTACGAGCCATTGCATAGTCTCGTGGCGATATAAGGTGTAAGAACGGTAATTTTGTGCATTCCAGAGAAACTAGTCTCTGGTCTATGCCACCGGTAATGCTCGGTAAACGTGTTATGGAAGAAGAGGAAAGAGAAAAAGGAGGGAGAAAGAAAATGAAAAGAATGATACGAAGAGGAGAAGAGAGAGAGAGAGAGAGAGAGAGAAAACGGGTAGGTAGATACCGGAGCCCGCGGGGGGCTCATAATTGCCGACCCTGAAGATCGGCCGACCCCATGGGGCCCTCCTCTGTTTGTTTTATTCCCTAGTTATACAAACGCGAGATCTACGACCGATATATGATAATCGTACCTCTGCTTCTTCCAGTCCCTCTTGGATCTCGTTTTTGATCTCCAAGATTCTTTCTCTCTCTCTCTCGCTCTTGCTCTTTCTTTCTCTTTTATTTTATACCTATCCATCCGTCCGATCTTCTCGCCACTATTTTCTATCAGAGTGACCACCCCCACGAATCATAAGTATGGACACACGTCCAAATCAATTCCAATGAAAACCAATTATAATAGTCAACGAGATAGGACAACAGAGAGAAAGAGAGATAGATAGATTGTCTTCCATGGAAGCTTTCGCCACGTCTCATCGTTTATGAATCCCGTTTATTCAAATTCTTGGCTACCTGGCATGATTAATATTCTTCCTCGTGGCCTCGGCTACCATCGCTTTCCCACGAAAGCGATTCAACGTCGCGAGTAGAGAAAGAAGGACGAATACACGTGCTCACTCTACGATTACCACTACTGATGTTTCGATGCTCTCTCTCTCTCTTCACGCGTTCGATGTTCTCTCTTTGGTTAAAAGGACACTTCGCAAGATAAATGCCTTTGTAAATCACTTTTCCCTTTCTTACCTTTACCCTCCGACCTTTCCGACACCACTACCTCAATAATCTTACCTTAGACGCAGAACCAAACGTGGATTCTTGCGGTTCCTTTCGATCCAAGCTCGGTCAACTTCCTGGTAGAAAGGCAAGCTGTCTTTCCAGGATATTAATATAAAGGTGAGATGATATTAACTACCTTAACTATCGAGTATGAGTTATTGCAAAAGTATCGACAAATTTAACGATAAATATAATATAATTCTTAAGCGATCTTTTTCCAAGATTTAAAAAAAAATAAATAATGCAGTAGAATAAAACGGATCGATCATGAAATCTTGTATCGAAGACAACACAGAGGAGAACGCTCTACTACCGAACGACTCGTACGCTAATGCTCGCCCCTTTCGTGGAACCGGTTTTCGCATTTACGATTCAATTTCTGAAAGGCTCGACGATACTGGACGAGGAAAATCTATCGTCGAAACGGCCATTGTATTCCTTCGGGCATTGAAAAAATAAAACGACAAATAAGAAATAAGAAGGTCCATTTTCGTTCGTGTCCACATTCGCGAACGCTAGGTTATCGTTTCGAAACAACGCTAAGCTCATATTTCAAGAAGATAACTTTACGAAGGTAGCAGGTTGCGCCAAATACATCTTATATAGAAGTGCTAATCTAAATGTTAGAAAGAGAGAGAGAGAGAGAGAGAGAGAGAGAGAGAGAGGGAGAGAGAGAGAGAGAGAGAGAGAGAGNGAGAGAGAGAGAGAGAGAGAGAGAGAGAGAGAGAGAGGGAAAAGGAGTGAAGTCAAGTAATTAACTATCGAGATTACGTGAACCATATGTCACGATGTAAAACGCATGTGGTTAGTGTCGCCGTTGGTCAAGATAAAACCAAACGAGACCAACGTAAACGTGATACTAACTCGTGAAAGTCGTTAAATTTACGTTCCCTTGGTTTAAACGTACTGCTCGCAAATGATATGTAAACCTTGCGGCCGAACGATGTAATATTGTGCATACGTTGAGAATTTTTGTGGTATGATTCTCAAAGCAAGAGTACCTTATTAATTTAAAAATCTTCCGATTATCTCACAGCATGCGATCGTAAAGTCGAAAATATGTTGAATATCAAGAAATTCAAGTAATTTATAGTAAATACAAATGTCACTAGTTGGTACAAACATTTTGTAAGAATGTTTTTTGTTTGTTTCGTTAATAATAAAAAATACTTACCTCGTTGTCAATTTTCTTGAATTCCACGTCCTCTTCGTCAACCTCGAAATAGAGTTCCGTTGACGTGACGGAAATAATTCCAGGCGCAACTATACCCGGTGCGATTAATTTTCCTTTCGTACTAATATTTACCGGACCTAAAAATACAAGATAATCATTTTTCTCTATTATATTATCTGCTTTTACTCTTCTAAGTAATAATATTTATAATATTTATTTTTATAAGCAAGCTTGCGAAATCTTGCGAAGAAATAAAGGTCGATGGGAAGAAAGTAGAAAATGAAGTAATAGATAAAAACCTGTTAAGTCGTTGTCGAGATCTCTATCATCCGAGAGAAGCTCGCTGTCATCCATTAGATCCGCCGACTGCAATTGTTGCTGATGTGCACGCGAGGCTGCGAGATGCGCGTGAAACTCTTCGCGCGCTTGAAGGATCGCATCCTCGGGTGCACCATGTTCAAGGGCTGCCTTCAGCGTAGCTTCGGGATGGCTCGAGCCTAGTGGATTGTGCACGAAACGCTTACGTCTACGTGCATCATCCTCCCAAGCATCTAGCTTCCAATATTCGGCCAGCCTATCAAATGTACGAAAAATTTAAGAGAAATTTTTTCACCTTTTTTATTTAATTCGTAATAACGTGATAAAAGATAGACTCACTTTGCAGCCATTGGATCCATGTAACCCCAGGCGCCATGTTTGTTTGATAAAATATTACGAACTTTTTCAAGTAATCTGCTTGCGATCACATTATCTCGTCTTCGTGCTGCTGTAATCAAATGATCGCACATTCTTTCCTCTTCTCGTCGATCTAACAACGTTTGAGCGCACTGAGACTGTAATAATTAATATATTGTTATTGGTAATCATGCGAGTAATTGTCGAAAATATATTATTCAAAACAAATGTATTTGTTTTATTTTCAATAGAATTACCTCAAAGTCCGCGTGCTTCAATACATCGTCTGCTCTCATTCGATTTAAAATAAATTCTGCCTCGTTAGCGACTCTTACTATATGATCTTTCATCGCGTGGGACAACAATCTGTGTAGGAAAGATATTGAAAAAGAATTTTAATAATAATTTAATTCTTATCTTGTTTTATTTGTTTTTTTGTTTTTGTTTAAATCTCTTTACCTGCCCTCGTTGATGAGCTCGATAAAAGCAAGACCAGCATATTTTTGCAAAGAATTCTGCCATTCCTGAGAACACAACAGCATCACCAGTTCTACCACGGAATTGCTGTTTTTGAACGTGGTTAAGCCTATCCAAGAGAAAGAAGAGAAATCGTTTAAGTGTAAAGACAAGAAAGAGTATGAAGAGAGTTTGAAAGAGATGGAGAAAGGAAAAGAGGTGATTTACAAGCGCTGTTCGATTTATCGTTCTGCAATGACGGAAAAAATAAACGTCCATCGAGAATGTGACACGACGATCGTACGCGACGTTGCGCGAATATCGAGGCTTCGTGTAATCATAGTGAATACCAATGATGATCGTCGCTTGAACGACGATAAATTTTTTCAACAGCATAACGAAATTTCTACGTGAAGAAAAATAAAATATAACTGAATGGTAAATGACGTGTCATGATAATTAGAGAAGAAATAAAAACTATAAAATGAATAGTATGTTACCATGACGCATGAAATATAATCATGATAAAGTTTCAGTTAAAATTAATTACGAACTCGTACCTTTCCCTTCCATTAAAAGTTCTTGACCGTGCGATCCAACTAACGTTTTCGAAAGGAAGGGCGCAAAATCGACCATGATTTCTCGAAGAAGAGGACAAACAGAACCAAGCGCCATTTCTAACTTTTGTGTAAGCGAGGCTTCTCTTGACGGTGTAGGTACAGGAAGATGATCAACCAATCCTTTGATCGGTAGATCATCCGGTCTCGGAGATGCCGGATTGACAACTAATCTGTCCGGTACACGAACCACGGAAATTTCAGCTGCGGGTTTTTCTCCCCGTTCCGCACTTCCCACTATTTCTTGGTCCAGAACGTTATCTTCGTTGTTTTGAAGATCACCTGAATTTGAACACACCAAGAGAGATTAAAATAATGTATATACTTTATTAAACATTTAATTGAGTGTATCCCAATTATTTTTACTACTATATTATTATTATATTTTATATTTTAAGATTTTACATAAAAAGGTATTGTGAAATATTTAAAAATATTGTGCAATGGTAAGTAAATAATAGTTATACTTCAATAGAAATTAAATAAATCACTAAAATATAAATCAGATTTCGACAAAGCTTATCATCATGATCCATTTAAATTTTTTTTTATCTTTAGGATTATACTCTTACATTTTTTAGGATTAATCGAATAAAAGACACATAGAAAAATATTGCAATGATAGATATTCGTACCTCGAGAATGGGCGATGTTATGAATATTTCGAGGGTCCTCTCGAGGATTCGATATGGGTACAGTGTCACCATCCTCGTTCAAATTCACGTCGGTCCAGGCTTCCTCAGATGAATTATGCTTATTCTCGTTGTCCGTCGTCACTTCCGACGGACTTGGATCCGCAGTGATGTTGCTACGATGAACAGCCTCTTCGCTGGAGTCGTTGCTCTAAGAGGAAAGTCAAATGTTTTTTGATAAACTTTTTCCTTCTTTAAATTAATTAAATTAATCAGGAATCCTCCAATTCGAGCGGCAATAAAAATGTTTTTACGTTAATTTACGATTATATAAAAGATCAAAATTAATTCTTTCGCAAAAATTCTTAGATAATAATAATTATCTGTGTTCGTACAAAAATTTCGAACGATGTATTTGATGTTTTACGTTTATATGCGTATGAATTCTTTTCATTTGTGTAAAAAAAAAAATGTGAGAAATGTTTTTTTTTTTATATATCGGGAATATCTACTGCTACTAATACTAATCGATTAAAATACTACTTATTCTTATTTCAAACAAACGACTTTAATTGGTAGCCTACGTTCTCTTAAACACATTAATTTTTTAATTTATTCACGATATATAAATATATATAGGTAATTACTATTTACGAACACAATATAATGTAGTTACGTATGTCCAGATCTTCTTGTTAAAAAAACAAAAAAAATTCTCCCGTGCTACGTAGTTGCTGTGACATGCAATATCGTTAATACATTGCCAAAACGCAATCATCTAATATAATTAATAGATAGTATATATATATATATTTAAAACAAAAAAAAATTAATCAAGCCTCTTTCATTTTCAAGCTTCGACAAAAAAAAAATAATCATTTTATCCAGAGTATATATTTGATTTAATTCATAGCATGTATTATATACACGCGTGTGACTTCAATATGAAATCAATAATATACGTTTATATATGTTACCGTTAAAGCCGGAAATCAGTATTGCTAGTAATTTCTCGGCATTGTTATCAATGCAAAGACCCTTCCGACGAAGTCGGAATAAGACTTTTTACAGAGTTTTTCCTAGGCATCGAACATAATACTTTGATATCCTATAGAATATCAAATTATTATTTAAACAACGTTGAAAAAAATACATTCTCGGGACAGGCACACACAGCCACACGCAACCTCTCCCCCCCCCCCAAAACAATCCATACAGGTAAAAAACATTTCTTTCTAAACGTAGAATACCATATCGAGTTATAAATTTAGCATGTAAAGTTCAGAAAATGTCAGAGAATGCAATGGAATCAAATATCTATAGGATATCAAAGTATTATGTTCGATGCCTAGGAGAAACTGGAAGAATTCTTCTGTGTCCGAATTCATCATTCCTTTGCATTGATGAGAATGCCGAGGAATTACTAGCAATGGCGGATTTTTGGCTATGACGGTAACATATATATGTATAAATATAGACTATGAAAAACATAAATTGTAATATAGTATGCATACGTTTCGTATCATGGCAAAACATTCGTTGTTCTGATGAAGCTTTTCAAATATTTGATTGAGAGAAAACTGAAAAGATAGATATTAGCGCAAAAAAAGATATTTACTTCAGCGTACCCGTCAAAATGGGTGTTTCGTTTATACGATGCGATATCCGTCTTTTTGACTTTTACACGCAAATGAAAATTCTTCGGAACGTTTAATTAATGCAAAACTATTTCAGTGCTTTTCAAAAATTATCCGGAGAATAATTATAGATAAGGACAGATAAATAGTGGAATAGAAATAAATGAAAGAGGGTTAAATAAAGAGAAAGAGAAAAAGAAAGAAAGAAAAAAAAATAGAAAGAAAGAAAGAAAGAAAGAGAGAAATATAGAAGAACATATGTGTGAGCTCGCGTATTTCTCTTCTCTTTTCAAGTATTTCCATCCTTCGCACGGGTAGTCTCTGATTGGATAGCTTTACCTGAAGATTTCGTGGCAGTGGTTCGGACCTCGTAGAAGAGCCAAGCGTTGGTTCTGACGAGGTGTAATCCTCGAGAATTGTCCGTGGTCGAGGTACACCACTGTGACCTCCCTTCAGAACCAGTAGTTAGTACGCATAGCAATGCAAGCAGAGGAAGTTAACGATGAGAAAAATTATAGAGTACAGTCACTTTGCATGCTTCGAAAGAGTAATCGAAAAAAAAAAGAAATTAAAGGAAAGGAAAACTTTTTTGAAATGAAACTACGATATAGTTATATATATATATATATGGTATATGGTAACACATGTGCCAAAAGTGCGAGCACATAGAAATTCAATGTTTTTAAGATATTCTAAATTATTTATTTCAATGTTATAAAAGAGAATATATATAAGAAAGGGGTTGTGATAACTATCTCTTTTCATGCTACGGTAATACGATAAACTAAAAAAATTCTTGAGTGGTTATAATGACACTACTAAGGTAAATGCTTAACACCCAATTAATTGTTTCAACAAAACATGCCGCACACATCAAACATATTTAAAGGCTTCTTAGGATACTAATTGATTTACTATGGATCCTTTTGCAATTGAAAACCTAATTTTATTTTAACAATAAACGACGTTAACCCTAATTTCATAAGATTTCATAAGATTTCATGTTTATTATTTTCATTATTCGATATATTTTTCAAAAATTCTTTTTTGTGTCGCAGGGAAGTTAGACAGGGTAAGAATTTAGTACGTTATTTCGATTTTATTGAACGTTTCGTCCCTTCATCGGGACTTCTTCAGCAACTCGATCGTTAAAGTTCAGAGTCTCTTATATATTATTACAAAGACATACATTCTTATATTTTTTAAATAATAAAACTATAATTAACATCTACAAATCGTTATATCATAAACAGTTATATTTAAATACGTAATTAAAACAATACTACAATAGTATTGCTGAAGAAGTCCTGATGAAGGGACGAAATGTTCAATAAGATCGAAATAACGTTCTAAATTTTTACCCTGTCCAACTTCTCTGCGACACATTTATTAATAATTTTATTTTTGGACGTGATAAACAATTAATTCTTTTTTGAATCTATCTGAAATTATAAATGTTATTATAAAAACTAATAAAAAATAACATTTCAGATTCTTTTGAAATATTTATGGGCAAGTATATACGTTGTGCTATTAACAAATGTGTGTGTGTGCTTTCAAATCTACATTAACGTTAAACTAATTATCTTTATTCAATGTTTTAATTAAATATGGGGAAGCTTTATTGAAACAGATTCGTATATATTCATCACGAAAATATTTTACATAGAAAGTAAAAAACGTGTAACTACATATTAATTTAATCTACGTTTACCAAATTACGTAACCTACATTTAAAATAGTTTGAAATTTCAATCAACGACTGCGATTTAAATAATTTGATAAATGCGCATAAAATATTTTTCTAGATACTCTAATTAAATTGTTCTGTAAATTGTATTGTGAATGAATATGTATATTCCTTTAATTTGATATCGTCTGCATTTAAAGTATCCAAAACTTTTCACGAAAGGAAATATAATAATTATATTATCGCGAGTAAATGATTAAATAATAGTGAATAAGATTAATGCGAAGCACACTGTGCACTGACTAACGTTGCTTTATTTAGAGCAAATATATTAAAAATGGTGCCTCTTTGAGGAAGAGTGCCAGGATTTTTCATTAATTACAAAAATCTAATATTTAAAAATACTAGCAACACACAAAGGTTTGATAATGTATAAAAATTACAAGAAAGATTTTTCAAATAAATCATTCGGATATAGATATTTCCATTCTCTTAATTTATATTTTAATAGATTATTAACACGTGAAAGATATATTTATTATATTAAATATATACATTCATATCGTTCCATCAAAAAGGAAACATGCAGTTTCTATTAAAATTCGTAATAACTCACGAAAATCTATTGTTTCTTTTCTTATTTCTTTACAAAAGATAATATCTATCATATTAATCGACTATAATCTTAATTCATATATTATCGACAATAAAATATACTAAATCGTTAACAGGGAAACAAATGAATTATAGTAAATACTTTGTACTATCTTTACCTGAAAGATTTTCCGAATTTTAACTGTTCCCAATACACCTACGTTTTATACGAATTTTTCTTATCGAATCTTACGATGACTATTTCTCATTTTTCCTTTTTCTTTTTTTTTTCTTTTTTTTTTGCTTGTTTGTAAAAGATCGATGTTGAAAACATCGACAACTGACTTACCTTGGTCGATGGTGGACCGGACGACGTAACGTCGTGGTCAGCCAAGATGGAGGAATTATTTTCGTCCACTATAATAACTTCGTATTCACCATCATCCTGAGAACCAGACTGGCTTATCATGCCTGCGCTCCCTGAAAGCACGATTCACTAATGTTAGGATCGACCATTAATTCACAAGATTTATTTACCGAATCTCTTTTTTCAAGGATCATTTTACATCGAGATTCGTATGATCGACGTTCAATGAAAGAAAACGATTCAAACAAGAGAACATGTAATCGATCTTTAAAAAATATATTTTTTAAAGTATATCAATAAAATCAATATTAATTTAGTATTTGTATTCGTTGACTTTATCCTATAAACCAAGTAATAAATATTTATTTATTAATTACATGTTAATTAATTATAATATAAAATATTACAATTAAGTAGAATTCTCTCTTCTCTTACGTTGTACGTCGATTAGACTAAATCAACAAGGAGAACGATGCGTACAATGCAACTTTTAAAACACAACTAATTGTAAAATATATATACGATTAAATGGTAACAACAAGTTTGTAAGCTATTGCATAACATAAACGATAACTCTTTTGTTTTATATGTCTTTAATCTCTTCAATATTAATTGTTCATTCCGATAAGCATAACAAAAATTGACTCATGCTGCTAATACGTTCTTCTTTATACATTTTTTCGGTTAAACAAATATAACAACGTAATCGAGCATAATGCAACGAACTTTGTTTCCAAAATATCCAGGAGACGACTCTTTTACCAAAATTCTTAGCTAAATAATACTTTGATTTCTTACATTCTAAATTGTTTTTCCGATGCTTTTTTTTTATATATTATATAATATATAATATCGTGCATTGTGTGAACTTAACATCGTGCCATATGTCCAGGTGTTTTATCGAACATACTGAAAATTGTATTCTGTTGAGCTGTAAGCGAACGATTATCATGCGATAAAAAATCATTCATAAAAAATGTATTATAATGTTTAAGTATATGTCTTATCTTGTTTTTTGTGTTTCAAAAGGATATCTTAGGAAAAGGATTGTTAACACGTTTAAACAATGTATAATGTAGGTACGAGGTTTCAAAATAATACAAAAAATACAACGCAAACGATCCTAATTTCTAAAAACATAATAAGCATCGATCGATCTTGCCCAATAAAGCCTTTTGAAAATAATTACACGCATACTAACTTAATCCTATGCAAATGAAAAAAAAAAAAAAACTGTTAAAAAAATGTACGAAACTAACCGTGCAGAGGATCCCAATAGTTGTCAATGGATCCAAATAAACGTAATAGAACGAAATTATAAGAGATAATGATCTCGCAAAAGAAGTAACTAAAAGTCAATATCCATCGATCGAGGAGAAATAAGGTAGTGTGTCGAATCCATTAATAAACAGCGTTGTGCTTGCGAGCAAGAAGCGAGATAACGAAAACTCTGATCGAATAGAAATGAAAATATAAGAGGTCATTCCACAAAAGGTGAAGAATAATAAAGAAGAAGAGCGTTCGAGCAATCGAGAATTACCTTGCAGACCGACAGCGGAGTTTCTATGACAGAGATTTCGGGGCTGATCTATATGTTTTTGAAGCGTATGGTGGTGGTTGTTGTTATTGTGATGATGATAATGATGGTGTCGATGATAATTATGGTTGTTCGGGTGATGATTGTAATGGTTGTTATGGTGATTCGGGAGATAATAGCTGGAAGGTGGCTGGCGATTAGAGTGCCTGGCAGCCGGTAGCGGGTGCTGGTGGTGGTGCTGACTGATGTGATGGTTGGCATTGGCATTGGCATTCGTATTGGCGTTAGGGTGAGATCCCGGGAGGAACTGTGGGTACACGTGGTGAGACCACTGTGGAAACAGGGGCCGACCTCCTCCACCACCATTCCCATCGCCTGGGGAGGGGAGAATCATGTTTTTTTAACCAATTCCTTTAACACATCGCTAATTCATTCTTTTATCCTTATTCTCATTATTCCTTTATTATCTTTCATTGCCTTTCGATCGCGTCTTTCTTTCCGAAAGATCGTCTTCTATTTGTTACTGTGTGTTCCTTTTTCTTAATTTTTTATTTTTATTTTTATTTTATTTTTTTTTTTATTTTTTTTTTTTAATTAAATGTGGGGTGAAATTAAAGGAAAGAGTAAGAAGAAATCAGGGAAACTCAGGATAACATTACGGTGTAATTGCTTAGCACGTTCACGCCGGGATGTACCACCCCAATGGTACGCGTATTATTATCCCATAGGGCGGTTTGTACCACTGGTGGTGTATATATGGTTGTCCCATCGGGCAGTTTGAACTACTAGTGGTACAAATGTTTTTTTAGTACAAATTAGCTCCGTTCGTTGGAGAAAAATACAGGTAATAGAGCCGTCCAACGGCGTGACACATAAGATGTAATATGTTTACCATCGTAAACGTGTTTAGAATGTAATGTTACTATCAACATTGGATTTTTATTAATTGTTAGCAATAAAAATGTTTCAAATGAATATCTTCTGTGTCTTCATCTATGCGCATAGAAATGGGCACATATTGCAAGATTACGTATAAGTACAGCTGAAAAATAAATGACATAATTTGTGGAAATAAATAAAAATTATGGCTGCGTAATAAATATCGCGATTCCGTTTTTTTTAAATATGATCCAGGCTTGTGAAAAATAAAATTCGCGAACGCTTCTTTATGCAAATCTAACGATGGACAAATGATTTCTTTTCCTTCCAATCTTAAAATTTGATATTGTCGAAATATTGGAAAATAAAAAATAATTTTATTTCGTAATCGCGAACGTTAGCTGCCAACGAAATTAAAAAAAACAATATATAATATAGAAACAATACAGAAAAAAGGTGCAAAAACATTCGACATACATCAAAACCCTCACTGTCAGATACATAGAAAAAAATTAATATCTCACACACTAGTGCAATCGTACATGCGTTCTATCTAGTGTTGTGTGCTAATCTCTTGATTGCAACTATGCGGTTCTTAGTGCATCGTGTTTTTATATATAAATATATATGTAACTATGACGTCTCGAATTATAATATAATTACGATTATATTTAGAATGAAAAGTTTTCTTTTTTTCATGAAACTCCGACGAGAAATTATTTATCAATTGAATTTCATATATTATTCAATCTAATTTGAATATTTAATTTTGGATGAATTTATATCCAATGATCTTATTAGATCATTATTTGGTCAGACTAATAAATCTCCTAAAATGAGAAGGAAATAAAAGTTCGTTTCTAGCTACATTAGGGCAGAGACTATTCTTTTTAAAAAAAATGTTTTCTTTTTTCAAGACTTACGATTATAAAATACATGCTTATAAAATAGAATAGTCATGCTTTGGAATATCGTGTTTTAACAAAGATATAGGAAGAAATGTGTTCGTCCATTAATAATCGAAACAATTGAAGTGAAATAATTGGAAGTGAATTAAATGACGGAACATATCTGACATGTAAGAGTTTTGACCAAATAAATTATTATAATATAATATACTTATTTACAAATATTTAAAATTAAAAAAAAAAATATCAACATGTTTTTTTTTTTAATTCTTATATGAAGATCTTTTAAAAAAGAAGAAAGAAAGACGAGACCGACCATTGTCCATCAATCTTCCACGCGCTCTCACATTGAAAATTGAATGATCAATACAAGATTAGCATATACATATACCCATGTTATATCCCTAATTGAAATATTTGTAATAGAAAAATCGAATCTACCTTCAATCTGTTTACGAAATATTTCAAAATATTGATTAATTTTTAATAAAAATCTTTATTGTCCAACTCGTATGTCAATTGAATAATAATAATTCACGTGATATCTTACCTGAAGGGCTACCCGGTCTCAAACCGGCACCATTAGTTTGTATCGTCTGAACAGGACTTGGTGGACGTTGAGATATCGGTGGTTCCAGAATATCGCGATACTTCGAGACCATTAGTACAGAGATGAAGTAAACTATAGCCAGGGACAGAAACTGTGCCTGCTTGGTTTCTTCCTGTAAAATGAGGAAATCATAAATTAATTTACCATTCATCTAATTTCTTCGAGCAAGTTCCCCGTCGAGTCTCTAATTCACGGTGAAAGAAGGTATTATCGAAGTTTCGATAAGATCGATCAAAGTACATTATGTACTTACAACATCTCTGTATATCACAGCTCTCAAGCGATTCACATCCATGTCTTGAAGTAATTTTTCCGGATCCTTCACAGGACTTAACTGATGAGCCAGATTATCCACTATGTTCTATAAAGGAGCAACGATATTCGATATATAAATATAAAATATTGCATCCGCTTCTAAAGACTCTATAGTGCGTTGACATGGACACGAAATGAAGAAAATAAATAAAAAACAAAAAAGAAAAAAAAAAAAAAGAAAAGAAATACTCCAAAATTAGAACGGACAAACGCGTAAAGGATTTGAAATGATATTTCTAAGAATCATCGTGCTCTACCGCGAGTTACGATGATACTAATTAATTCTATTCTAAATGTTTCTAATGTAAGCTGAATTATGACAATAGGAAGTAACGTACCTTGGGCGATGTCTGAGCTCCTCGTATTAGAGACTGTATGTGGTGTGATTTATTACTAGTACCAATCTGTCGACCTAACATGCTGTACGATCTGCCACGCTCTTTACACTCTAAGCAGTTTCTAACGGCACATGTACAGACCTATAGAAGCATTTTATCAGAGACATATATATGTATGTAAAAATAATTGTATTGGGGTATGGTATTAATGAATCTTTAGTATGTATATACATATGTTTGAAGTTAACTAAATGCGAGAAAATACACAGAGATCTCACAAGCGAAATACACAGCTGTGTATTTTTAAGAATGAAAATTATTTTTGACTAGCTTTGTGAAACAAAATTGTATGAATGCGTATATGTATGTATGTATGTATGTATGTATGTTTGAATGTACGTATTTATGTATTTATTTATATATGTAAATATGAATATATGTATGATATATATGTACGAGTATATTTCAAACTAATTAATAAAACATTTATAAGAGACGACACAATCTCTGCAATATACATTATCGTTGACTAAATTTTGGTTGATAAGCAGTTTACTGTAATATGAAAGTTCTGTGATTTCTACAGAGAGACACTTCTTTTTACTTATCGCCATATATCATATGACAGATTATGAAATATAGTAACACATGTAATGTGGGATATTGATACGAGGTAAACTACATACATTTATTCTATTTCGGTACTAATGCAGTATTGATTCCCACACTACTCATGTATCATGTTTTTCGAATTGGAATTATTGATTTTTGATACTTATATATGAACATGTATGTAATGTGCATTTCTAACGTTTATGATTATTTCTGTCCAATTTCAATGTTTTTCAGAAATCTTATTTGTATTATCGATACTTAATTAACGAAATAGACGTTCGATTATACCATTTCATTCGATTAATGCGAATGAAGACGATGACAAAAAATTATGAAGAAATTGAGAATGAGAAAAAAGATGAACGATACAAACCAGTCGCAAACATTGTCTTAGAATTCCACCGCTGGACATGTTCTTCTCAGCCTCGAGTTCACCGAAATTCAAGGAGCTTGCGAAGATTAGCACATCAGCCATGTTGACTAACCTTTGAAGAAATGAAACTGCTACTTCTATCGGCATCCCCTGAGTCGGTTCAATTACGTCTAACTCACTCTGTGAATATCAAATCATAATAACTTCCAAATATATAAGAAAGATCATTGAGTAATTAAATGAACGATCTTGGAAATACGTACGTTTGGCGATGTAGCAGAAGCTAAAAGTGGTAACAGTCCACCACAAGCTATGATAAGATTGTCAGCTAATTGAGAGATCAGATGAACAGTATTGACTACGAAAATTGCATTTTCGCTACTATTCACAAAGTCCAATACCGACTTTGTCGAATGACTATAAAAAATGTACAAAAATAAATTTCACGTTAGTTTCATTTTTCCATACTTTGTAATGTAAGTGTCTTGGATAAATTACCTTCTCCAAACTTGAATATCTGTTTCGAGAGAAAATAGAACATCCGATAATAATCGCTGATGAATGTATGACCATTTAAATTCTGGTATTCTGAATGGTGGCCGGGTAGGTCCTGGACTGAACATTGGTCTGGTGGAAGGATTTCCTTGCTTTGTTCTTTTCGATTCTGTAAAGAAACGATCTTTGATTAATAAATTCTCTAATTTTTCTATCTTTTAGATAAAAAAAAATATATATATACGTAAAGAATACAAAGAGCAAAAACGTACCGAAATGATTCGGATCCACTTGTGTGGACGTTGAGGCACTCCTTGGTCTTTTTTGGGGTGATGATGTCTTTCGTAAGGGAACAGGTAGAGAAGGAGGGTCCTCGGCATTGCTTTCGGAGGATACAATCGGTAAACTGGATCTGCGGTGGGCATCTACGTGATCTGGAGTTAAGTCATTCGTAGTAATTGGATTGTCCATTGCAATCACATTAGAACTAACGTTTTGAGGCACACCGTCGGGTAAACTTTTAGTAGCATCACAGACTGTAGATATTGTTGGGATTTGCTGTTTAGGATTTGGCACTTGCGTCACATTATCTACAGAACTTTGAATATCGCTATTACTAGAAACACTATCCGTTACTCCTACTTCCTCGGTTCTCACCGGAATGTCTGACTTATTATCACTTACGCTAGTAGAAATAGTGGACGGCTCTCTTGAGTGTTTTTCAGTTACCTGTTCGTCGTCGTTACTATTAATAACAACACTTTTGTCGTCCTTTAAAGTGTCCACGACACGTTCGTCGCTCTCTAAAGTACTACTCACTACGACTTTTTCCACTTCCTTATCTATTTCTTCTTTTTCTACTTTATCTTCTATTTTATCATCATTGCTATCTATGGTTTTCGCGTTATCATCCGTTTCTACTCTATCGGTCGAATCACCAGGACTTTTTGGTGCATCCTGAATTTCTTCGGCATCCTCATCTACGCTAACGTTTCTTTCTTCAGCAACAGCTACTTTTTCGGCAAAATCTTTCTCATCCATCTTTGCGACATCTTCGACATTCGTCTTCGTCTCCGTAGATGTCTCTTGTTGCTCCGTTGGTGTCAGATATGCTTCAGAAGTATCGCTATCTATGATTTCTCTATCATTTTCTAATTGAAGTTTCTCGAGGTACTTTGAATCGTCAGCTTGCTCTAATGATTCCGATTCTTCCTTACCCATATCGTTTATGATTTCTGATTGCTTTTCATCATCAACGGATTCCTCCGCCTTTTCAGAACTTTCCATGTTGATCTTATCTTTCTTAGGGCTCTCTTCCTTAATGCTACTCGCTTCATTGTTTTCAGCTAGTTGTTGAGATTTATCATCGTCATATTCCTTCTTTGTTTCGAAGTCATTAGATTCTACGGGTTCGGCAGTTTTTTCATCATTCACATTATCGTTCTTCGTCGCTTCTTTTTCGACTTCTTCTTTCTCAATAACAACATCGACATCCGTTTTATTATTTTCATTATCTTCTATTTGATCTTTCGTTGGGACTATCATTTCCTGCTGAACACTTTCATCTTCTTTCTGTACTGTAATTGACTGAATCACCATAGAATCCGGACTTGGACTTTTCTGTACTTCGCTATAAACATCGCTGGAGCTTTCGATCGATATCACTTCGCTGGTCTCTTGGGTTGTTGGTAAAGAAGCTACTTCACTATTCGCCTCTTCCAAAATTGTCGGTGTATCCGTGTGAATCTCTCGTGCCGTTGTTGGCGTCTCTGGCTTGTCGCTTAATCTTGAATCTAAAGAGACTGCTTCGCTAGATTGCATGGTATCCAATGTTTCGCTATGGGATTTAACGATCGCCGGACTTCCGTCGCTTTCGGTGTTATCTATAGAGTTTAAATCACAGCTACATGTTTCCTCCATACGATCGTTTCCTTCAGTTCCATCAAACTCCTACAAAAAAATGAAAAAAAAAATAAAAAAAAAAAAAAAAAAAAAAGAAAAAAAAAACGTATTCTTTATAGTTAATATTTTTTATCCTTTAAAAAACCTAGGAAAAGATAACTTACTTTGTAATTCCTTTCAACGTGTTGAGCTTCATGATTTTGTTGATTAGTCCAAGGCGATGGTCGATTGTAACCATTGTTACCTGAATGTTGCTGATCCCAACCTGAAATTGTACTAATGGGTCTTTGTTGCCTTAATTCAGGATCCGTTATATTATCGGATCTCTGTCTTTCATAATGCTCGTACATCTGAGCGAACTGAAGTTTAAATTCCTCGTAAGATACCTTTACAAACGAATTAATATTAAAAACAAATATTACATTATTCCTAAAAAATCACAAACTAATTTATTTTTTATTTAATCTTTCATCATCTTTTACCTTTGAATGTACTATCGCCAAAGTATCGACCCAAACACGCCAACCACCATATTCGTGCTTAATAGCGTGATGAAGGAGCATTCGAAAGAGGGAATAAACCATATCAGATATCTTTTGTTCTTCTGTATTCTTTGGATGAATATAAGCCATGGCTATAAGCCACTCCTGCCAGACGGACATTTGCAATACGGTTCGACGATTTTCACGATTGTTATTGCAAAGTAATGTCATATCGGAGAGAAATAATTTTTTAACTTCTAACAATTGTTCCGTTTGTTTTGATTGTCGTATCAGTGTTGCTACTACTTTAAGAATCACTAAAATGAAAGAAAATAAAATTAAAGTAATTAGAACGAGATGCATGTAAAAGCGAATATGTTGTATAAAATCTTATTGGGTCTTACTAGGATTTTCTAAACGATAATGTGACTCTGGCTCGGGATGCCTGGCATAAAGTATTTGTTGACTTATGTGTTCCGTCATTATCTGAAAATATTATTTATTATATGATTAGATTTTCGTTAAATAGAAAAATGATTAAAATTATATAGAACGTGAACAATACCTCATATAAAACGTTGTAAGTTGGTAAAGACAATGTTTCCTCATTTAATAATAATCTTTCGGCTAGTAGAGTATACAAATTGTGTGGGCTCATTACATCGTATTTCCTTCTATTGTAATTGTAAGTTAATTAGAACTTAGATGAATAAAAGACATATATCTTGAAACTTTTTATCACTCACTTATGTGTACTGCGACTGAGAAAGAATCCTAACAATTTCAATGCTTGAAGACGAATCAATTGACTTTCCGCTGCTAACAATTTGAAGATCGTTCTCACGCCTTGTTTCGCATCGAACGCTGGTACCATCGAAGAGGGATGCTCGGACATCAAAGAAATAAGCATTTGTAAAACGTCGTGTAAATTATCATCCTGCGAATAAATAAAATCCTTCATTTATTCATTATAAATTGACAGCTAATTACATTATCGATTGAATTTTAGAAAAAAATGGACCGATCTCATACCTCGTGCATCGTTGTTAAATAATTCAAAATACTCTGCAATTCGTCGTCCTTCACGCCATTACCGATCATAATCAATTGTTTAAGAAATAGCAATATATAAGAACGTATTGTCAAGATATCCTTTTGTTGAGGTCGTGGTCCGTCTGTAAGAAAGAAAAAGAAGAAAAATAAAGAAAAAAACAAAAAAAAAAAAAAAGAAGAGAGAAATTAGAAAGAATCAGTTAACATGATGCAACAAATTTCAAATAAAAACAAAATTTAATTGAAAATATTGTGAAAGGCTATTAAAAAAAAAGAAAATATAATAAAGCATTTGCAACTCACCGAGTCCTTTCGGCGTTATTCCACTCTTGGCACGGGGATTAGCAACCCAATAGTAATACTTGAGCGTGTGCACCGTTTGAAGAACGGTAGAGACGCGTCTAACGTTAGAATAAATTTGCGTATCGCTGAGGAACTCTGTGGCCAAGTATGAATAAAGCCGGGTTTGTACCGGCGCTGGCGTGTATATCCATAGAGCGGGATTAAAAAGGACGTGATCCAATAGCTGCCAGGTTAGGAATGAAAAATAAAACAACTACATCACCATAGATCTGCCTGTTCTTCGGACACACCAATCTAGCCGACTTTTATGGGATTCCTGTCTACGACACATAATAATATGTGCCTAATATAATCGCCATTCATTTCGACAATTCAATTCCATCCAATCCATTTGCTTCGTCTCATACTATCGATAGATTAATGACTTTTTTAATCGATCTTACGTGGATATTAAATTATACCGTTAAATTATCTGTATGATATAAAAGAATCTAATAAAAAATAATATTAAGCGGCACAAAATGCGATCTTGTATAAGTTAATTTTTCATTCATAATTCATTTATCTTTTAAATTATATTCTTTATGCGTATGTTGCGTAATACATCGTCAAATGTTGTAGAACTAAAAATATATATATATATAAATACAAAATACTTATATATCAGAGATTGTATAAAAATTATGAAAAAGATTAATTTAGATACGTAGACATGAGCTTTGTGCATAGAATACTCATGCATTTGATCTGGAAATTGCAAATAGATACGAGTACAATCTTTTTTACTGATTTTGTTAAGGAAAAGTTATAACTTAGGATAATGAATTTTTCTAGTGTATCGAATAAAAAAGAAATAAAACTTCGGTTCATAATGACTCGATCATTTGGTTAAACCTGACGAGTTACTTAAAAATTCAGCCAATTGCAAAACAAATTTCTAAATTTTAATTAACTTTATTTTTAATGTAAATGAAAATGATCAAAAAATCTATTAAAAAATATTATTAACAAAATCAACTTAAAGTAATGTACTCCGTTCGTTTAACATTGGAATAAAATATTAAAAACACAAGGAGCGATTTTTTTAATTAATAATTGTGAGAAAAAATTTGAGGAAAAGGAAAACACGTAGATTTGATGAATATACCATTGAATCATACCACAAAATTATTGTCCGATCGAGATAGGTATAATACACGAATGAGAAAAGTAACATATATATAATTATTAATGAAAAATAGGATTAGGCAACATGTACGCATCGCATTATTGCACAAACGTAAAAATATTTGAGTGATAGCATGTGACAGTGGTGAAATTTAGCGTCGCAAAAAAAGATAATTAAACAGTCCTTATTTTATGTCAAAAAGCCATGGAAATTCACGCGAAGTAACATTTTGCGAAGGCGTATTTTGAAAAACGGGAAGCCTTAATAGTCGGTAGATTGCATGCGATCCAAAGTTTCAATGAAAACGCTAAAGTCATATGATTAAGAAAGAGAAAAAGAGAGAGAAAAAGAGGTAAAGAGTGAGACAGTTATAGAAAAAGTGATATGATTCTCATGCTTTTCTGTTGCAAATATAATGGTAACAATCTATACAATTGATATATATATATATATATGTATTCACGAAGGAACAAAATTATAAAAGCTACTGCAACTTAATTAGGAAGTATAATTAATATGAACCAATGCAAAAATACCTAATAAAGCTTTCATACGCTTTTGCATGCTATTGCAGTACTTGTCAGAGCTCAAAACTACGAAAATTTTGATCGGCATAAAACAGTCTAAAGGGCAATAATTAAGCTCATTGCAGCTTTATCATATTAAAATTACCAAACAAATATTATATTCTTAAAAGAACAAAATATTCATTACAGTGTAATTGGTAAGGAAAAATTTATATTCCTATATATGGAAAATAATATGCTTAATTATACAACATATCGAATTCACATTAATAAATTTATATACATATTGCATGGATTATTCGTTTGGGGATTTTCAACTGAAATATAATAATAGGCACGGGATTGGAATATTAAATTTAAATTAATTTCAAGTTACTTTGAGAGACTGTATATACGAAATGTAACACGTCGTATTTATTTACAATAATTTCTACGAAAAAAAGGGGGTCCTACGTATTACTTCTGGAATAATATTCTAACACAATAATACTATTTACGTCTAAACGAATGAAAGTAGGTAAGTTCTAGTTTCTTTAAGATTGCGTTCATTTTGCATGAATAAACGAATGAAAAGTTTCGAATTCGTAGCTTGTTAATTCGAAATTCTAATTTAATTTCAACCTAAACTAACTTTCTAAAAGGGGAACTATGAGTTAATCAATACCTGTTTTAGCAACAGATCGCTGTTCGCACTGAGGCAGGTTACCAGATGTTTTGTTAGTTCTAAAAAGGATGCTAGAACTTCTGTAGTCAGATGATCTCTGCTAGCTCTCTGAAGCATGTAACTAATTACCAAAAATCCACGATTCTGTACCATATGTTGTTGAACCGTTTGAGAGCTCTCCACAAGATCGCATATAAAGCCCAACAATTTCGAACTGAAACGTAAGCAAATTTAATATCAGTTTCGTACATATGTTATTAAAACTTTAAAACATTCATGTATAATAAATAATCAATTTTTTTCTACCATAATGTAGGATCTCGCTTGATGTCATTCGGTGCTATACAATCGTAAGGCATATCTAATTGCGAGAAGAGAGGAAACAGTACTTGAATACCACCGATAGAATTTAACGTACTGTGTATCGAATGCGTAATAACAGCTTTGACGTCCTGCCCGAACAAAAACATATTTATATTTATTCATTAAAATATTCATGCAATCAAAATAAATCAAATGTTAAAATTCGTACCTGAAGCATTAGAGCGTGTGGTGTATGTACAAAGTATGGAACGTTGCCTTTCGGTGCACTTTGCAAACAAAGTTGAGAGTCCGTAGCCACTGGGTTGTACATGAACACAATAGCATTCGACAGTTTTCCGTCGTAAAGTACCTGTGATATCACACATATATATATTTTAATCGTTCATCTATGAATCTTTCTCTTCGAACGCTTTTCATCATGAGTTTGGTAATCACAATAGTAATTATTTATTAAGTTGATTATCAAGGCTATGATAATAAGCGAAAAGCGTAACACGCCCGACGGATTTCAACTCAAAGTCGGAGATAAAATCGAATAATAATGTATACGAAAGTACTTACGTATATACGCGTATATGTATATACCTGTATGTAAATCTCCATAATATTCGTATATTTATCCGTCGAACGATGGCAGAAAATTAAAATCGATTGGAACACGTTCGGACTACGGAACTAGCATGCGCAAGAAATTTCATACTCTACGTGGTAAAAAATAAAAAAGATAAAAAAACGTTGAAGAACCCAACGAAACACTACGTTTAATAATTAATTAAATGAAGTCATAATAATATTACATTTTAAAAAAGGATTAAAATATAATAAATAAAATCTACGGAGTGATACGACGGGGAAAGAAAAGGAAGACTGTAATGTAGAATAACACGTGTACAAAATAATAAAATAAATACAATAAATACAATAATGAATAAGAAATCACTATATCTAAATATAATACGAAGCAAAAAAATAAAAAAAGAGAGAGAGAGAAAGAGAGACAGAGAGAGAGAAAGAGAGAGAGAGAGAGAGAGAGGCATAGAAGTGGAAAGATGATAAATACGAAAGAATATCGAAGAAATATGTATTTCCCACAAAAGCGAACATCGTCGTTTCTATTGAAACGAAAAAAAGATAGATCTTCTTAAATTTCATTTAATTACCTCGGACTCGAGTATGCAGTATATAAATGGAATAAATTGTAAGAGAGTGCAAAATGAAATATAAACGGTGGGCGAAAATAAAACAAAATGCTTACAGTTTGCATACTTTGGTCCACCATGCTCGTGAGCTCCTGCTCATCACTCACCCTTTTGTGATTGTCTGGCAGATTCAGGTAACACTCGTTGTCAAAACGAAATTGACTCTGACGATAGGAATAAAAATAATATAAATAGATAAAAAAAGGAATAATAATTTTATATGAAAAATCAATATACTAATTTGAACTAATAATATCTAACTAACGTACCTTATATCCAGGTCCTAATCTGTGCATAGCGCATATCTGATGAGTCGTAAGAGCCTCACTAAATAGATATATCGCGCTCATTTGACCACAGAATACTCGTTCCTCGTCCAATTCCGGTGTAGCTCCGATATAACACTTGTCGAATGGCTATGAACAAAGTTTTCGAGAGTATGTATATAGTATACACATAGATAATATTATCTTAACCGAATTTTGCCCTTTCTGTTTGATTCAGAACTATATTACACAATAAATCAAAAGGCGATTGTATCGTACAAATTACATGATTTATCCGAGTAATTAATTAACCATGAAAATACATTCATCAAAGTTAGAACGAGTAAATTTCATTTAACATAATACAATATATCTGCAATATACAATATATTTGATCTTTAAATAAAAAAGAAAAAGGTAGACTATCCAATGTAGATTTTTTAAACTATAATTCTGTCATAAATAAATTTAAATTATATATAAAAAGTAATTAATTAAAGATTACTTACGTCGTTCGTCGACACGAACCATGCCATTTCGGTACTCGAAGCCAATTGACCGTTGACTAAACACTTAATTTCGCTTTTGGTCCATCTATTATATATGTACACTACGGCGATCATATACCACTGCAAAAATATTTAATGATAAATATTACCATCATATATTTGTTATTTTATTTTTATTTTAAGAATTGAATTTATTACGTTTCGTAAATTATGTGGATTTAAAAAAGGGAAAAATGAGAGGACTTTGTAAGATAGACAAATATGTATTACATATACCTTTCGTGGTTGAAATTCATATTTGACACAGTGCTGGAAGCCCTTGCCCTTCACTTTCATAGACGTGAGGACTAAGCAATTGCCTACGAAATGCGCTGAGTATCCTACTCCCTTACTAGTCTTGAAACTGTAATGAAAAAATAGAAAAATAATAGTTGAAATTATAAAAGAGTCGCCGTAAAAAAACGCGCACACACATACAGAAACATTAACTCATACAAGAATCGTTATTAATCGAAGAAACGTTATTAAGCGTCGATTATAAAAATCAATTTCAATCGAACATTTTATTTGTTTTCACCGTCAACCTTTTGTTTCCAAACTCATGCCGGTTTTTCTACCATTTCCATGATTTTTATACGCGTTTCGACGTCATCGCAAAACTCAATTAACAAAACGTGAAAAAGTATCTAGCATATCGAACGAGTAGGTAAAACAACATGTCACTGTTCCCTCGAGGCGAAGGAGTTCGATTAACAAAATTGTTTCGCAATCACGAAAACTTCTTTTTTTCTTCATGGTTATTGAATGCGAAACAAAAACAGCGATTTAATGAAATTCGCAATCAAGCCGTGGCATATAAAAGTTGTGCTTTATAAAAATAACAAATCTACCGGGTTATTTATATTAAACTTTTTACTTTTATTTTTAATTTTTTATTTTAAAAAGGGCGTATTAAGGGCATGAATTTGGTTTCCGTAAGGCAGCAGGTTGCTTCAACTCAAGAGAGTGTTCTCGTAAAAGTACTTGATGGAAGAGCACTTGCCAGTAGAGATACGGCTTTTCTCGTTCGATATTAACCGAGTTGATGGGGTCCAGACGAAACCACGTGGTGAATGTGAACCCGTTCTCGTGCGGCCACCTTGCTAGTGGAGGTAATACTATTGCCTGTAGACAAAAAGAGAAAGAATATGTTGTGTTTATAGCTGCTATTATTTCTTTTTACAGACTCGATGATACCACCAGTTCTCTCATACGCGAGATTGCAAAAGTTTTATAAAATCTTTTTTCGAGATACTTATATTATTAATATCATTTGTTATTAAATACAATCCTATAATAATAACACGATTAAGATGTTTGATATAAATTTTATTAATGCATGTTATATAAAAATAATTGAAATCAATCACATTAATCGTAGAGATTTTATTATATATCGGAATAATTATCGAAGTAAAATTGAATATTGATATAGAAATGGATAAACGTTGTAATTGTTACTAATTGTCAAGCACCATTTGAATGGTGGTCCACTATGAGGCAAACACATCCCACTTACTCCCGCGAACGGTTAATCCGTTACAGCTACGGGGCATCGTCAAACATTGTTATCAGGCTCTAATTGACAAGCCGTGTTTCACAACTTCGCTAACTTCCACATCAAGTTTGTTATTGTATTAGATAACGAAGGATACTTCCACGTTCGAATCTTCGAACACTTTGTTTTTCTGGACGATAATAAAAATATTTCAATACATTGATTTATACATTTTTCTAATATACATATAGATATTATCAATTATATTTTATTTTATAAATATTAAAATGTTCTTTTGTAAAATGCAATCGTATTAAAGTAATTACTTATATTGTAGATGAAAATAATTAAAGTTTTTTTCATCTTCTTTGCTATAATGGCAGAGTAATTAATGTAATTAAATGGACACGTTGCATAATCGTAACTACATGAATAGATTTCTGAATGTAAGGTAATCGATAATGCCTTGTTATACCTATACGGTTTAATCTTGATTCTCAGGATTCTCGAGAGTTTCAATACAAGGCTTCGTCTTTAAGGTCTCGCGTTGTGGTTAAAAGGGATCGATACTTTGTCGAATTTAAACGATGTTAGTTGAAACGGGAGTTTCATGAAACAACGTGAATTCTCTTATCCGAAGTTTGATAGAGTTTAGAATCGAATAACATCTTCGATGAAGTTGTAAGGTAAAAAGGAACTGTTGTGCCATAGAAACACTGTTATCTGTGTGCGTTAGTTTTCTTATGTATTACACGTGTGAAACGAAAGAAGAAAGCAAAATTCACTTACCGAACCTTTCCTACCAGGAAAACTGAAAAATACGTCGGGTCCATTTCGTTGCGGCATTTGACGAAGTACATTCAAAAGTTTCGCCGAATGTCGCGGCTGTAAAACAAAACAACAATTCTTATTATAAGAGATACTACCAGATATATTTAAAGAAATATTTAGATTACATTAAAACACTTTCAATAAATTTAATTTTCTCATCTTTTTATCATATAACGTCGATTTAAAATATTTTAATAATTTACCCATTTTCCTTTAACCGCTTTCATGGCGCCGAAGAGAAGTTTCAGCTCTTTTACGGTAATACTGTAGCTCGCTAATACTCCGAGCATATCGATCAATAAATCTGTGTGAAAGTAAATTAAAAAATTATAATTTTTATTCACGAATATGCATTACATTCCAGACTCGTGAATAAAATCTTCTGCATTAAAACATGAAGTCTAAAAATAATACTTTGAAATGAAGAGAAATAATTTAATTTACCTGCAACAACAGTCTCCGCTTGCGATAATCGATGCAGCACGTGTTCTATAAGACTTACATCTGTACATGCCTGTAAATTCCGAACGCTTTTTCTTAAAATTGCAATAAATACGCTCCATATTTCGGCCTGAAACATAAAATACGAAAAATATTTGTAATTTTATAGATGTATGAATTACACGCACAAAAATTAAAACAATTAATATGTGTATATAATTTTTCTGTTCCATATAGATAAAATATTTTTAAAGTAATTATCGCCAACCTAACACTCCCCTTTCACTTTGGTGGTTTGTATTCTCAATTAAATTTGATTTATTCTTTATGAAAATAACGCTATGATTATCCAATGCCGTCGAGAATTCCCAATGCAATTTGCGCGATCCCAATTCGAATAGCGTATTTTTTTCCTTGCAAACATACAATTCGGGCCTATCGACAGTTCGTAGGGAAAAAGGAAACAATCCAAATAGAATTGGAAGGAATACATTGTAACGATTAAAATGGGAAAGACCGTTGTATAATTATCTTCGAAATTACCGAACTACTAAAATATTTCACTGCAGCGAAGCTAATCCAACGAATTTGCATACAGCGAAGCCAATCTCAATCGATATTCGATACAAACATTGCCCCTGAATATTATTTTGAAGTATGCTTTTAACGATATTGCTGTATTGCAATTTTTACAACACCTGTGCAATTTTCGTCTATTAATAAAAATATTCTTCTTTGCAAATTCACATTTTTATCAATAATTATTAATAATTTACCAATTGTATCTTTTTAATATTGGTGATAGAAAATATTCTACGACAAGGTAGATTTATATAACTAGTTCTTTACAGGATCAGTGCCAAATGAATTCATACGGAAGATTCTAATGACCAGAGCTCTTTACGATGGGGCGTGCTCAATTAACGTGTAAATGGTTTCCAGTATTAATGAAATCTCGAAGGATTAGTAAACATACGCGACCCTTCTCGTAGATTCAATATTAGTATTTGCGAGTATACACGGTCTCTTTACACATGGAAACCTGGACGTAGCCAATAGTTTCAGTTTGGACTACCACAAAAACAATAGTAATTAGGTGTGTTTTTTATAATCCTATTTTAATTTTGTATTCGTAATTTTTTGTTACTTCTTTGATTACTTTTCGTATTTTTTATAAGAAATTAATAGCGCTGTTCTCTCACTTCTATCAGATAACCAAAAAATGAGAATTGGTTTTAATAAGGGAGAAATAAATAAATAACGTGTTTTAACCACAAAAAAGAATATTTATATATGATAATTTGAATGGTTTAATATACTGGCCATAATTCTCTTGCGGTAATATCTCTCTTTCAGTGGGATCTATCTACAGAGTATATTTATTTTTTAAAGAATAAATCAGAAGCGATTTGTGGTTTTCCCATGAGCTCGTTTCATTTTCATCCTTCTCCCTCCTCCACCTCTCGCTGTATCTATTCTCACTCATATAAAGATTCACGAGATCGGACTGGTGGTAAGTACATATCAGTCTAATCCTTTATAATACTGCGTATTATGTCCTACCTGAGCTCTTTAAAACTCCAACAGACAGCTTAACTACTGTGTTATTTCCGTCAAGTGAAATCCTTCCATTGATAGTTTATTGTTTTAACATTTTAGTCACATTTCAAATACTACGATATGATATAGCTAATTTAAAAAAAAATATCTATTATTTGGACCACATTATTTCTATAGTTATTTTTTCTAATATTCTATCATGATAATTAGTAAATTTAACTGCGGTAAATTAAACGAGTCATTGTTATTAAAGTGTTATATATCGATTATAGATAATCATATTTATATAATATTTAGATTTAAATAATTTCGAATGCACATCTTCGAATATTTGTCATTTCTCAAATCGTTCAATGTTTCTTTTTCTCTTTCTTTCTTTCTTTCTTTCTTTATTTTAGCCTCTTTTCTTCGGTTAGTCAACTCACAACCATCCATTTCGCATCGTGCATTAAAACGCACTTTTGAAGGTGGCTCTCGTTCAACGGGTATCCACTTTTCAACGAGCGTATCACGCTAAAAGCCGTAGTAACGGCTACGGCAATGCCATACGGCTTTTAAAAGCCTGATTGCGACATTGAAGAGGGCCATTCTTCAAACTTCCCTCAACGTTACTTCTATTGCCGTTGTAGTTGTTGTTGAAGGTATCACCCGCTTTTCGATAGCTCATCACAAATGTGACTTCTTCTTCCTATAAATCCTATACGCTGTACAGTGAAACGTTTTCATCCTTAAATTAATTGTAATCAGCTTTTCTTCTCGAAATGTTTCAACCCAACAAAAAAAAAAAAAAATGAACATATTTCTTTTACTTTAATTCACAAAATATGTGCACAATGTGCGTACAAATGTGTAAATATTTTATGTAATATAATATTACATGGAAGTAATAATTCTCCACAAGGAATGCTAGAATTTCACGTGCCAACAACAGAGAACCTAGTTCTTTCATAATAAATCCACTCACTACTGTCATCTAAGCGCATTGTTGAAACATACAATGAACCGAGCACCAACATTGCTTCCTATGCATATTTCTTATGCATAAGTGCATAATTATTGATATAATTTGTTAAACAACTAATTTCCTTTTTTGCGATAGAAAATACAAGTGTAATGAAAAGTTTTTTATCGCGTAATTCGAATGAGTCTTCCAAAATCAATGACAAGATAGTTGAGAAAAGGAAAGATCTGTATATTAGTTCATAAATTTATTTTGAATGACTGTTTTTACTTGGAAACTTTCTACATTACAAATTTCGTTGCTAAGATACTAATTGAGATATTGAAATATCCTTTAGGATCGTATATACTCCCCCATTTGTCAGATAAATCAAAGGTTTTTGACGAACTTGGGGAAATAAAACGAATTCCTCTGGAATATGTCCACTGGCGTGTGAAAGCGCGAGCGTTGATTAAATTTCAAGTAATTTCCGCTGGAAAAAGTCGTTCGCGTTGGATCTTCACTTAATTGCTAATTACAAAAGCGATTAGTTATACGGTGCATATTTAATTAGCACGAGTTTCATTGGTACACCATTCCCTCTCTCTCTTTCTCTCTTTCTCTACACTCACGTCACTCCGAAAGATTTAAATCGAATTTAAAATTTGTTAAAAATTTTCTCTATGACGTCATTTCAAAAGTACAAATTTCTGTACTATAAAAATTACACAAACGAAATTATTTTAATAATAAATTTCAGTACAAAATTCGAATAAGTAATAAATTCTATCATAATTAATTCTACAAATTGTATAAAAATATATAAATAAAATTCGAAAAAAATTAATGTTTAAAATAATATATAATCGAGACAAATAAAACCAATAATATATTTTTAACGAAAGTTGCACAAAATTTCATACCTGTTTAAATAAACATTGTTGTAATATTATATTTTTGTTAAAAGATAAAGAATAAAGGATAAAAGGAAAAGAAGAGGAAAGAAAGTAAACGAGGTTAAACAACGGACCAGATAGAATCTAGTTACTAAGTTGGTATTAATTAATCCCTTATAAAATTAAAGTGGCTCTTCGCGCGTTCGAAGACGATGACGACGACGACAACACAACGAAGACGACTATGACTACGATAATGTCTAGAACAACGACAACGACAACTACAACGAAGAAGATTGTGCTCTGGTTTCGTATCTGATATCGTTCCAAGATCTCCAATTCGATCTCGATCCGCAATTCTCGCTAGTTTCATCAGATTCGTATTCCGTGCACGATCACTATCGACGATGCCTCTTTTCGAATTAAATTACTGATTACGTAATAACACAAAGGGAATTGTATCTTTAAATATTCTCGAATATTCAAGCTTGCATATCTTGTCGATACTTAGCTGTTAACTCGAACAGGCCACCAAGTCTGAATAATCGATGATTTTCTTCATAGAGCAATCTCCATTACATGGATTTTTGTCATTGAATGATCGATATAGATTTCCAATATCACTAACTGCAAATAATAATTATTCTATCGGTAGATATACAAATACATTTATAATATCTTCTATTCAATGATATATATAATACTAACCTAAACATTAAATCATAATGTAACAAAAATTGAAACTACTAATTAATGTTCGAAAATATGATTTTCGATGAATTTAAATCTCAGTAAATATTATCCTTCTTCTATTTACTTTTAAATATGTATATCTTTCTTCACGCTGTCATATTATCGTATCTGTATATTACGAACACATATTAAACTATAAAACTTTGCAACAATAAATAACGAAGAGCGATCGGTCCTTTAAATCATGACGCATTTTCTTAAATTAATAATAAAATTAAAAAATAAAGTAGAATCTCGAGACGTACTATATAATTAGCCCTACGAATTATAATTATTTTAACTGAAACATTTGAATTCGAAATAGTTCAATTGCATTAAGCTTACGTAGCAATGAATCACTTCTCAAACGCGTAACGATGAAAGCTGCTTATGAGCCACGCCACCATAGGTTAAAAGCTTTAATTTGATCGGATAGATCATTATTAAATATTCCTTTTGCTTGATTCCATTTCAAAGGCTTACTTCATTCTAAGAAAGTAGATGCTATACACGTATTTGTTCAAAATAGTATTAATTTGCAGTTAGAACAAGATATTGGAATATATCGGGAAGAAAAAATGTTCCCATTAATTTGAAATCAAACGAAAGCTTTGCTTTACTTTTACGTCACGATTTAGTGTAGCATCCGATTATATTTCCAAGACTTACAAGCGACCTATATTTCATATACTGCCTTCGTCTACTACAAGATTAAATGGTCTTAAAGGCGTACTACGTGCGACGATATTACGTACCCACCGTTGCTACTACATGAAACAAGTATTACATACGTAAGACGCTTGCCGTTAGCAGATTGCACACCAAGAAAATATACGTGTTTAGGATGAAAAGACAGAGAGAGATAGAGAGAGAGAGAGAGACTCAAAACTCATTTTATAAGAAGCAATGAATAAGCAGAAGGTTATGTAAAGGGTCATCATTTGATAGAAATAATCAAGATTTGAATGTTCATAAGTAGAAATGAAAGGGAAAATAAAAAAG